AAGAGCCGGCTCTTTTTAGTGAGCCGAGCCGAAAGAGCCGGATCTCTAAAAAGAGCCGGAAATCCCATCACTAGCACATACTACCCTTCATAATATACACAAATAATAATAATAATAATGTGGCCAGCTGAGTATTCTTAACAGCAAAGCACTCATGCAAAAGTTAAACTTGCTGTCCTACAAAAATTAGATAGGAGGAGATCTTTATTGGACACTTCAGCTATACTACACTGTGCTTCAGAGGGTCAATAACTGCATGCCTGAACTCAGTCGTGGTACTAAATTCTTTCCATCAACAATAACTGTCAGTGAATTTATACTGCAGCATCAACAAGAACAGTTAAGCGAACAGATAAGAGTCACATAAACTTAAACAAAAAACAATAAGCATCTTAAACAGCAACTCACATTCCAAAGGCATGATGGGAGATAACTAGCCACTCCCCACATGCCACAATAATGATAATAATAATCACAGTAATAATAATAATACTCACCTAACAATTTCACCAAGCTGGAAATCTCCAGAATGAATGCCTGATTTTAGAGCGACAATATCAAGTGGTAAAACAATGCCTTCAGGTGTCTGGAAAAAAAATCAACCACTATTAACAGTGCACCTTGCTAGTGGTAATTTTGGACAGTGTATTAGTTTCCAAACTAATATGTAAATGACAATATAAAAAAATTCAAGACAAAGTTGATGTATTTTGGTTGTTTTGTTTCTTTGCAAATAAAATATTTGTTTCCCTTGCATAATGTCAATTTCACTTCTGAGCCCATGAAGAATAAAACACAATACCACAAACTCAATGGCAATGGAAGCATCAGTTTGGGCTGCTTCATCCCTGTCTACAGGCTCCATCTGGGGTGTCAGTGCAAACATCCTGAAATGAACTGAAGGGAAGAGAAGATGTTATTTTTGCTGCTCGGGCAGTGATGTATACATGTTGGGAGGAATAGTTAATCAAGAAATTGAGTTTAGTAATTTCATTTAAGGTCATTCATTTAAAATATGTCTTAGTCAAACTGAGGGAAATATGTGATTCTTTTTTCCTTTCAAATCTTCACTGAAAATAATTATCAAATGTTCTAACTTTTTTCAAAGGGACTGCATGGACTACACAAAACAGCTTTCTAATTTGTGTAAGGTGATGCCATAGTCACATAATTACTGTAACAAACTGTTTTTTGTCTCAAACTCAAAACTAAATTATTGTAGCAGCACCATGTTTCATTAACGTTATTGAATGGCCCTGAAATAAAATATTGAATCTGTATTAAATAAAATAAAGATAGAACTATGGAAGCATGGAACACATAACACGGGAGCTCTAGTTTTCCATTCCAGCTTTTTTCACCTCCATACATCAACTGAGCACATCGCACCCAAACACAACAAAAACCCCTCCTCTAAGCTTGGGTGTGAGTGGAGCCCTCTAGTGGGTCACCACAGAACTACCCTTGTGTGTGCTGTTTCTCAGTCATGAGGTAGCGGTAGACTCACCTTTGCTGTTTGGTGTATAAAGGGTCTTGTCTGTCTGAATGAAGATGTAACCAGACTGGAAGGAAACCATGACGACTTTCTCCAGGAGGCGGTCGGGGAACTGAGCCTGTAGGTACACATACTGCTTTGCGTTGGGATCTTTACTGAAGTCTCCTGCAGGGATCTGAAACCAGTAGGAAAAGTCTATAAAGACTTGGATGGCATATTCAATGATAATTGAATATTTAATGAAATAGAAATAACAATAATATTATCATACAGTAAACAAATAATTCAACTTACCGTTACTTTCCCAAGCTGCTGAAAGTTATTTGCATTGTTGAGGGTCACAGATGTTGTTGCCAGTCTTTTAGTTTTGGTTGGATGGTTCATCACATTGATTTCAACCCTAACGTCTCCTCCAGTGCAGTCTTGACACTCCACAAAGATGTTTTCTGCAGTTCCCACCCGCAACAAGTTTGGGGCAGACATCACTTGCCTGCAGAGTGGTGGTAACATAGAAATATGTTAATGATACTAGTATCTGTATAGATAAACACATGCTGTTACTGACTAAAGAATAAATTATTTATTTATTATGTTATATGTTCATTTTAGACACCATGAAAAACATGTTAATAATTGCTGAAATAATTATTTTTAATTATTTAAAACCAATAAGTTTTCCATTTTTATTCACGTATTTATTATATAAAGGTTTTATGACTGAAGACTATAACAAAAAAGTATTTACCAGCTGTTTTCCTATAGCTCATATTTTTAAATGCTTTTTCATGCATGAAATGATTAATCATAATATTGGATTGCACCCAAAATGCTTTACAATTCCACTATTTATTCACACACTGGTGGAAGCAAGCTACAGTTGTAGCCACAGCTGCCCTGGGGCAGACTGACAAAGTCGAGACTGCCATATCGCTCCATCGGCCCCTCTGGCCAACAGGAACACAACGACCAGGACAGAGAAAACAGGGGGATCGAACCGGCAACCTTCCGGTTACAGATGAGCTTCCCAATCCCCTGAGCCACGGTTGCCCCTTAATTCAACCTTGCTGGGAATGTGTAAAAGTACATCAGGTCTACTTACAATGGAGCTCCATCAGCCACAGAAGTGAGAGAAACAAAGGCCAGAGAGGCCAGCAGCAGTAGAGTTCTCCTCATTATCCTGATCCTTTTCTGCTGCTAAAGTAAACCGTGGCTGTGCGGCATCCTTCTTTTATTCACTAACCTCCCTCCTTCTGCACTCCCACAAAATGACTATTCATCCTCTTTCCAATGACATGTACACACAATTTCCCAGCAGCAGGTTGGGAAACTATTTAGTCCTGATTATCTCTTCTCTAAAGAAAAAAGTAAACACTGGAAAATCAATAAAGGTTTACATGTTTAAATTATGTCTTACCATGCAGTTTAGTAATTAGTTCACAGGATCCAATAAATATTATTTTCTTTTCTTTTTTCTAAAATCTCATATTATTGCTCATATTATTGTTCTGCCTCTTTTGAACCCAAATATTCACCAGTATGTAAAAATAATCACACAAATGGTCTGATCAAAACATGTTGAGTAACTTTACATGATGTATTTGGCTGGGCTTCATGGATTTTTTTTTTTTTTTTTTACAGTAACAATCTGACATATTTAATATAGTGGATATGATATCCTCTATTTTAGGATTTCAGTGACAGGGAAAGAAAAGAAAGCAAAAGATGTCCTGCCTTTACCCTCAGAACAAATGTAATTCTCTGTGCCACATTAACCATTAAAAGAAGGGCAGAGCATTGTTAATGATCCTCCACAGTGCTTATCATTTAAAGGCGGTGGCATTTTTATAATGGTCAATTGATGCTGTGGGGTTCAAAGTATGCTAAAAACAAACAAAAAAGGAAAAATTAACTTAATACCAATATATAACCAAAAGCAGCCTGAATTTAGCAGGGCTTTTTTGGTTTTCATACTCTTAAATTCATGTGTAAATTCTGACCATAACCACATTTTTCCATATTTTTTATTTTTTGCATTTCTATTCATCCATCTATTCTTTTTCCCTTATCCAGTTATATGTGTCCTCCAGTCTGAAGTATTCTGTTTACACTAATATTGTAATATGCAATTGAACACGATGAAATAGAGCACATTTTACATACAAACATGTTGGACCCCTTACAGTTTGCCTGAAGGGCAAAGAGGGGAGTGAAGTATACTCCTGCTGCTCCATTAAATCTGGTATGTCTTGCACACAGACTCCTACCTAATTTTAATGTGGTTTTTAGCAAAGTGTGTTGGCTCACTGCATTTTTTTAAAAACAGAAACAAAAGAGTCTTGGTTAATGAAACTAAGGGCTGTGTGTGGTCACCACCTTTGTTTGATTTATGGTCTAACAGCAGCCGGATCAATCAGATATCAATATTTGACCCTAATAACTGTATAATTGTGAGTCTTCTGTAGGAGGTGGGACAACATAGTATTTTTATCCATGCGAGGTTTGTTAATTGACATGGCTTTCGTCACAGTAAATGTGTCTAAAACCAAAGCTATTGATTTTTAAAGGAGACCACGTCCCACTGTCCCTACATAACATCGAATAAAGGGTTAGTCAGTGCCTGCAGTAGAGCATTACGGTTTGGGGGTCAATTTTTGGAGGACTTGATGACAAGTTCAGCTTTTATTCAACAGATGTTATGTGTGAAAAGGCAAATCAAATGTTGTTGTTTTAAAAGAAGTTGCACAGCTTTTATGTAGGAATTGTAAAAAAAATAAAATAAAAAATAAAAAATAAATTATTATTTCTTTACTAAGTCAGTGCCTTAATCTTTTCTATGTTGTTGAAGATTAACACATTGATTAATATTAAAATATGACCAAACTGAAGAAAGCAAAGTTTTGCTATAAGATTCTCCTTTCTCATAACTTTCCCCCGCCGCTCTTTAAACACAGCTAACAGTAGGGTGAACTGTCGTAAGAAGGCGTGAAACTGGATTTTTGTTTTACTTTTTCATAAGATTTAATTCAGGCTATTTATCTGGCATAACGTGTCTTTGTTTTGCACACCAGGACTTCTGGTAATCGGAGTTTCGTTTGTTCAGTAATAACGAAAGTAGGCCACAGGGTAGATTGTGCACAGACAAACAGCAGCTTTGTAAACTCACACAAGGACTTTTCTATTTAATTATTAAACCTAACCCTCTATACATCAACTGAGTGATTATTTGTATTTGTCAAAGCAAATAAACCAAATATTACCTACTTTTGGTTGTAAGCTTAGTGACTTGTGCTAAAACAAAACAAAGCAAAAAATATAGGATAGGAATATATAGGAGATAGGAAAATATAGGGGCAAGGCAGGGCAAGTTTATTTATATAACACAATTCAACAACAAGGTGATTCAAAGTGCTTTACAGAGACATTAAAAGACAAAAACAATAAAAAGCATGATTTAAAATTGATTAAAAAAACAATAGATAAAATCAGAACAGTAGATAAAATCAGTAGTTAAAATATAAGTTTTGAAATTTAAGCTTAAAAGTGTTGATTTGGTGCTTTATTCAAATGCAGCTGAGAACAGGTGGGTCTTCAACCTGGATTTAAATAAACTGAGTGTTTCAGCTGATCTGAGGCTTTCTGGGAGTTTGTTCCAGATATATGGAGCATAAAAGCTGAATGCAGCCTCTCCGTGTCTGGTTCTGACTCTGGGAACTGATAAAAAACCGGATCCAGATGACCTGAGGGATCTGGAAGGTTCATACTGGGTCAGGAGGTCACTGATGTATTTTGGTCCTAAACCATTCAGAGCTTTATAGACCAGCATCAGAACTTTAAAGTCTATCCTCTGACGGACAGGCAGCCAGTGTAAAGACCTCAGAACTGGACTGATGTGGTCCACTTTTTTGGTCTTAGTGAGGACTCGAGCAGCAGAGTTCTGAATGAGCTGTAGATGTCTGACTGATTTTTTAGGTAGACCTGTAAAGATGCTGTTACAGTAGTCAAGCCTACTAAAGATGAATGCATGGACTAGTTTTTCCAGGTCCTGTTGAGGTCCTGGGGGAAAAAAGCAAAAAAAAAGGGGAGTGTGTTTCTGATTGGTGCAGAGAGGACATGTGACCAGGCTCGTTTGAATACGACAGGTGAGTGGGGCAGAATACTTTCAGTATGCTTCGAACGCGTCGACATCTGTCTCTCAGACTATGAGCATTTCCGGGAGCGTGTTACTTTGAACAGGGTGCCACTACAACGTTGATCGTCTCACCTGGATACCCATTAACCGGCAGGTAAATACCAAATTTCATCCTTGGCCTACGAACGCAGCTGTAACCCCAACGGTCTGAGCTTCCTCGTGAGGCTGCACGCGCTCCTTCATTCCTTTGGCTGTAAGCGGTTTCACCTGTCACAGTTCAGAGCAACAGCGGGCTCACCTGAGCCGGAAGGACACCGGTTAAACAGGTGTTTCGGGATCTGTGACATCCCGCCCTGGGCAGAGACATACGTCAGCCCGTGGCAATGTTAAACTTTGGTGGGTGTGTCAGTGTCTGTTGGTCTAAGTGGTTTATGGGGAGCAGACTGAGGTTTAAGATTAGGAGTTGTTCGGCATCTCTTATCTATCTATCTATCTATCTATATATATATATATATATATATGGACATTTATGGTGAGTTCGGGACATTTTCTTAACTACCTTTTCAGTGTGTAACGCTTAATCTTCCACAGATATTTTTTTTTTAGAATAGTTTTTTGTAGCCTAGTGTCCCAGTCTGGTATGATTAAGGATTTTCTATGAGGGCCATAGATCTAATTACAGCAAAGTCCATACACTGGATTTGATCATTGATGCCTTAAAAGTGGGAGTAAAAACTAGGTTAGGCTCAATTTGACCTATTTTTATATTCCGAATAATAGGTTTATTATCACGTAACAAAACCAAAGAAGGCAAACATTCCTCACATTTGAGAACCTGGAAATAATGAAAGCGCAATAAAAAATTCAGTTCTTGTTGTTAATATTGGCCACTACTAACACAGTATTGTTAGTAGAATAGCACTCTAAGTTAATAAGCTGGTTGCACAGTATTCTGGGAAGAAAAAGCAAATCTAAATTGCTTCCCTTTCTGCTAACTTTCAGTGGCTGAGGTCCTTGTTTGCATAGTGGTAATAATACACCCTCAAGGAATGTAGTGGAAGTCAGTACAATGGCATTCCTGTAACATGAAGTTTGTGGGTTTTTTGGCTTGTAAACCACACATTTTGGTGTGTGTCTGTATATCATAATTATACCTCAAGTTTGTCAAGTAGTTTTGTATTAGACTAAATTGGTTAAACAACAATGCTTTAGTGTATTTTTTTTCTCCTCACCAATGGTTGTAGCATGATTCGTTTATTAGTATTTCAAAATCATGCGATTCTTGCCATGAAAATATAATCGCAAACATGAGCTCATCCAACACTTTGTGATAAGCTCTTTCTTTTGGTATTCCAAGCGGTTATGGAATGAAAGAGGACGATTTCATGTCACACAGGTTTTCTGGCTGCAGTGTTTTAAATTGAAGTACCTTTGAGACTAAGTATCTCTCTCTTTCCTCCCACAATCTAAAGACATGCAGTTAGGTTCACTGATGGTTTTACATTGCCCGTAAGTGTGAATGTGAGTGTGGATGATTTTGTCTTCTTGTGTTAGCCCTGCGACAGATTAGTGACCTGTCCAGGGTGTACTCTGCCTCTCACCCTATGGTAGCTGGGATAGGCTCCAGCACTCCAGCTACCTTGAATTGGATTCAGGCATTCAGCAGGTTGGATGGATGTGCTACAGCTTGGGATTTTTTTGTAAACAGTTTAAACCCTTCTTACAATTTGTTTTTCAGACAAATAATGACTTGTGATCACAAACTGGTAAATACAAAGTGTTGAACATGACAGTCTCTTCTATTTTACATATATGTTTTAAATGTATCTGATCTGCCACAACAGTAAAAGTCCTGATGTGTAAAGTAGATAACAATGTCTTTGCAGTGTGGGGCACAGCTGGGAAGGCCTTGGGTCTTGGCAAATTTTATGTTTACTTATAGCATCCACCAAAGCATTGGCACAGATCAAGTACTCTCCAATGTCCTAGTGCACAGGACACATGACCCAAAAGACACAGTATTAAGGAGGTGTCTTTAATGTTACGGCTGAATGATATATATATATATATAATTTTTTAATGCTCCACAGTTACATGGTGCAAATGTAAGAACAGATCCTGCAGACCTGAATGATCCTTTCTACTCTACCGGGAGGTGAGCTCATTTTAAACATCCATCCATCCATCCATTCGCTTCCGCTTATCCTTTTCAGGGTCGTGGGGGGCGCTGGAGCCTATCCCAGCTGTCACTTCTTTCATGTTGATGTTATAAATTACGTATTGATGACTTTAAAAGTTTGTGATTTCTCTCCTCAGCATGGCCACGGAGGTGTCGATCTCACC